ATCGAAAAATCATATTACAAAATTGAAGACTACGTGTTAGATAAAGATGTATGGAAAGACGACACGGCTCCAGAATCCACACAAATTTGATTCAAAGTATATTCCATAGTATTTAAGTTTATTTGAAAAGACCAATCCCTAGAGTTTTTTGCTCATTCTTCTCAGGGAGGTCAGCGTAGTGAACGAGCAGTAGCTTAAATGTGACGTTTTCAAGTGTAAATTTATTTTACCTATGGAATAAATAATCTTTGACTTTGATGTAGGAGGCACAACAGTGGACGTCTTTCAGCTCATATTTATTTTACAAAAACTTACTCAACAACAACACAAAACATACACAAACAAGTGGTCAAAACAATTGATACTGTGCCTCGAGGTTTTGTATTGTTTCATTTACATGTTGCCACGGCATGCGTTTGTACATAGGAGTATTACAAAATAAAAATACTTGACTATATACTACTTCACTGTTTAAGCTTGTTACACGTATTTTTTGGTTACTCTACGTGTCAACTAGTTAGGTACAATTTTGTTACTACAACCTACAACTTTAAATTATTACAAAAGTACACACATCAAAAAAAGTTTGCGATCAATAGCATAAGCTCCTATAATTCTTTAAATTTAACTTTATCAAGAAAAAATCTATGTTGTATGCTTTCTTTAAATAGGAATACCCTGTTTGAAATTAAAATATAAAACTATTTTTTATTATTTATTTTAAAAAATTGAGCCATTAATCATAATGTAATAGTGATAGAAATTTCATAGAAAGAAAAAGACTGTTTAATTAAACTTAAACAACAATTTATTATTAAAAGGTGTGAATTCAATATAAAATAACTCCTCCCCTGGCTCGAATACATGCGAAGATCCTCCTGGGCATGCTGAGGATCAAGTTATCCAGCATTTCCTGGGGTAACCTATCCCATTCTTCAATAGCGGCTTCCCTGAGCTCTGGAACTGTCTGGGGACGTGGCTCACGGTTCCATACTGCTCGTTTAAGAGCATCCCACGCGTGCTCTATTGGGTTTAAGTCGGGCGAGCCGGCAGGCCAGTCTAATCGTGTGATATCGTATTCTTGAAGAGCAGCATTGACTCGTTGAGCTCGATGTGCGGGCGCATTATCATCGACCAGTACAAATTGGTGCCCATGGTTTACTCGGAATGGTCTGACGATATCATCAATAGCAACTGCTTTGTACATGTCTGCTGTCATGAAGCCCCGATACGGGATTAAAGGCGTTCTAGCTCCAATCATAATGCCACCCCAAAAGGATACCGATTTTCCGCCTTGCTGAACTGTTCCAGTGGCAGTTCTTTTTCTTTCACGGTCGCCTGGTCTTCTCCAGACACGGACACGTCGGTTATCTGGATGAGTGCTGATTCGGGATTCGTCAACGAAGAGACAGTTTTGCCAAATGTTTTCGTCCTCACCTTCTTCATTTTGCCGAAGTCTAGCCCACTGCAATCTTCGTTGTTGACGTTGCCGGGAATTGAGCGGAGCTCGCCAAGACCTCCGTGCTCGTATCCAGTCTGGTGCAAGCAATTGCGAACGGTCTGCGTGCTAACTTCAAGCCCAGAGGCGGCCCTGACTTCTGCTTTTATTTTAGTGGCGTTGATTGTTGGATCACGGGCTGCCAGCAATCTAATATAGCGCTTTTGGGCAGCTGTCAAAACAGTTGGGCGACCGCTGCGGGGTCGGTCAGCTAAATTCCCCATTCCGTGATACCTCTGCAACGTAGCCACGACACAGGATTGGGATATAGCAAGTCTGCGTGCTATTACTCTCGTGGTGTATCCTTCTTCCCTCAAAGTTACTATTCTAGCTCGTAAAACCTCTGATAATCCTCTTGGCATTTTTTCAATCACAACTTTCCGCGAAAAATATCTTGAATCGCTTATAATTGACTAAATCAGATTTCTGAATGAGCGTAAGCTAGGACTTAAAGCCTTTTTATATGAAAAAACAATTGAACGGGGTCATTTTTTTATGTTCTAATTTATTTTTAAATAAAGAATCTAAAAAGAAGAAAAAATCATAATATAATCTACAGTAACAAAAAAGATTTCAGTTTTTCGAAGTGATCGCAAACTTTTTTTGATTTTAAATGAAGTTAGTATGCATAATAAATGCAAGTTCATTTGAGTGGCGACTCAGGTAGCCTAAAGAAGCCTTTTTAATTCGGCTTAGTACTTATTTAGGTTATGCCTATAAATGTCACTGTCAAATTTTAACGTCAGGTTGTTGTAGTTTTTTACCGATCTGGTGAAGGTTTAATTTAGGCCAAGATTATTACGGGAAGGGGCGACACAAAACAAGGAGTATTTGCTTTTTGAAAGGGATATTAAATTTAAAATTAAACAGTAATTGGGGACAATCTATTAGATCATCTGTAATTTTAAATAGAAATGATTGATCGAGGAATTGCCTTTGTTGTTTTAGACTGTGCATATTGAAATAATTTAAACGGTCGTTATAAGCATCAATATGTTTTGCTTTCTTGCAGTAATAAGCCAAATGGTACAAGAAACGCTTTTGAACCTGATCAATCATATTCGAATGAATCTCATAGAAAGGCGACCATACTACACTCAAGACCAGATCTGACAAGGCTGTTAAAAATACTTATCTTAGTGGATGTATATTTAAAATCTTTGCAATTTCTAAATAAAAAGCCAAGAGACATCTAGCCTTTAGAGGCAATTTTGCTAATATATTTGTCAAACTCTAATTCCGGATCAAATGTTAGTCCCAGATCCCTTATGATACTGACTGTTGTTATGTGCTTATCGGGTCACGGTTTATATTTATTGTTTTGCATGTTTTGTTTCGAGTGAAATGCATATAGTAACATTTTCCTACATTAAGTGTCATGTTATTAATTGCGCACCACTCAACAAGCCTAGACAGATCCTCCTGAAGAAGAACAGGATCCGAGGCAGATTCTACAGGCTTAGCTATTTTGACACCATCGGCGTAAAGGTAAATGAAAGAATGCGAAAAACAAGTTGTTATGTCATTGATGAAAATATTAAAGAATACAGGGCCAAGATGTAATCCCTGAGGGACTCCCGAGGGCGTGGAGAGGGTCCGATGTAAAACCATTTAAAACTGCCTTCGAAGTCCTGATATGATGATGATAGTGATCATACTTTGTCCTTTTTGTACTCGGGCCCAATTCTGACGTGCGATCTGTTACTACCGCATTTTTTATTTTTATATTATACGACGATATCGATCTCACATTACTTTTTTGTGACTTGACGTCACCTTCAACTTATCTTTTTATGATAACGCCCTGCCTTTGATAAAATTGGTACTGATTTACGGATTATAGAACTGTATAATTGATTAAAAATATACATATTCAGTAAACACTTGAAAAATGAGGTTAAATGATTTTCGTGCAGGTCCGGATTCACGGGAATGACTTTGTAGGACTTGAGGCCCTGTTTCTTTTTTCTGAGCCTGGCAATAAGCGACACGCCTATCCATGACAGTTGCAGTGCACCCGGGGTTTGAAATCGCAAAGATATCGTCACCCTGAGATATAATTAAGTTGACAAGTCCCACGTGCTTGTAATTTCAGCAACACCCTTACCCTTCCCTCTTAAACTGGAACGCAGCAATGCTCACATTACTGCTTGGCGGCAGAAACAGGTAAGGTGGTACTTCCCTGAACGACCGCTGTACTGCTATTGATGTTTTCAAACAATTGTTTTTGATGAAAGCAGTTTCAGTGACCTGATTCTGTATATTACACGAAAGACACAGATCGTCAGTGTTACCAATACTGCCACAATATTTACTCACAGTACTTGAGTATTTATTAAGAGGGAGCAGAGGAAAATTCCTAATCTTCGATTTGATTTTAGAGGGGTATATCCACTTTAAAGTTAAAAATAAAATATTGTATGAGTAACTACACGATATATTCAAGCATAGACATTAATCAGAAACATAAAACAATAAAGTTTCCTCGATAGATAAAAATCACGAAATGACCTCTAATTTTCACATTTTTTCGATTTATCCTCGAAATGCTACAGGTTATTAGGACAAAAATTAGATAATTAATTATATTTATGCATGATCGACAACTGTCACTACGGATTTTTTTTTAATCCCTTTAGTTTTAGAGTTATTCCGCTAAAACGAATTTGGTACTTTTAATGCGTAAAATTCAACATCTCCTGTCGCATGTCACGCGAACTTCAGCCATATTTTTGTTTTACAAATTTGGGCGGAGCCAACGTCAAAACTTTTTTGGCATGCTTAAGAAAAAATTATAAAACAGAATACATAAATTTAAACATGGCGGCGGCGCAACAGAAACCTTCTGAATAGGCATTGGGCTGATTACTATTATTACACACACAACAACAATAACAGCTGTCCGTCTCTGCCGCGCCGCGATTGTAGTCGCCCTTGCATTTGTATAATAACCTAATTATTCTATTTATTATCGAGCTTCTTGAGGCAATGTATACAATAGTTAATATTTCTTAACTACTATACACATTTTCTACGCATTGTACAGAATACCTAGGTATTATAAAGAATGCCGGCCGTAGATTTGGCAAAGTATAAAATGAAAGACAAATAAATCAAATTAATCATTTCTGTTTGCGTTTCCGAGCTGGTGCGACCCCGTCCTGTGTCTATAACAGTTGTAGTGCCACTCAAATCTTTAAAACACAAAGATTTGAGGAGCACTGCCACTGCTCCCGTCACCCTGAGACGTAAGTTGATAAGTCTCATATGCCTGTAATTTCACATTTAAGGAAAAAAAATTCATGGGATCCCCTATCAGATTCTGATTTGACAACACTGGGACCACGAGAGTTCACCCTTTCAAACAAAAAAAGAATTTTCAAAATCGATTCACAATTGATGAAGATATCTGAAAACATACATACAGCCGAACGTATAACCCCTCCTTTTTTGAAGTCACTTAAAATAGAAATAAAAATCACTTGTTAGTTTATCGGTACTCTCAATTTATTTGTCCAAAAACACAACTACCAGGTGCATTAACATCGTCACTAGTAAAATATTCCTTGAACAGAGTAAAATACTCTTCCCAGTTCACTTTGTTTTTACCTCCAGCTGCTTTTTTAAAAGATTCTAACGACTTGTCTTTGCTGATTCCGAAATTCTCAAAGAAATCTGCAAATTCCTGATCATCTATAGATCCGTCACTTCCTGCATCGATTAGTTGGAAAATACACTTGGCGTAGAGTTGATACCACTCATCAGCCTTTTCTGCTTTCTTGGAATACTCGTCCCAGAGCTTGATCCATTCATCTTTGTTGATCGTTCCATCGCTATCTGCGTCTGCTGCTTTTATAAGTCCATCCCAAACGAGGTCCAACATATCTTCCATAAATTTGTAAATTATATCCCCAGGATTGTAGCCACGTTTCTTTGCTACATTACCTGCAATAAATGATAGACATGTGTATATTATATAACAATAATTGCATTTGTTTATTAGTTAACTATATTTGTACATTACTTCACAAGAACCTTTTTTATATGTAGAACATCACTGTTTCCTTCATTAGGTTGGCATTACACTTGTTAACGCTCAATCGGCTTGAGCCGTGAGTAATACGAGCTAAAAAGATGTGTGCTCGCGTCGGCAGTACGAGAGCAAGCGATACGCACAACAACTGTTTCAGTTTTATTAGACAGACGTAAAGCATTTTCTGACCGGATTAATACCATTCCACGTCGACAGATGTGGTGACCCCTTAACGATTTTTTTATAAGTGACGGGACGAACAAGCCTTGCACTTGGTGTGCGACGCGTCTACCCATAACAGTTGCAGCGTGACTCAGAGCTTTATTTTAAATTGCATAGATCTAAGCTACTGTTACTGCACCCGACACAGTTCGTCCAGGGAGCTACCACCTCACCTTTTTCTGCTACCAAGCAGTAATATGAGCATTTCTGCGTTCTAGTTTCCAAGGGTAAGAGTGCAGGTGATACTATATGCACATGGAACTTATCAACTTATGTCTCCGGGTGACGGGCACAATTTCAAACCCAATCGTCTAAAAGTATTTTAAAGCTAATTGAAGCAATGGAAAAAGCCTATTACGACCTAATTACAATTTTCAAAGATACTCACGCATGGTTACGAGAAAGTCGTTTTTATCAATGGTACCATTTTTGTTTACATCGATAAAAGTATTGAAGACATGAAGGTACTTCTTCGTCCTAAAATCCGACACCATTGTTAATGCAACTTCTTTGACGGTCGACAGTTAACAAAAAGAATCAATGTAGGATTTCTTTCTTTATAATAATTAAATATAAGGTTTATCTCATAAAAGGTATTGCTATTAATCGCTAAATCCTTTAAATCTTTCGCTAATAGACATATCTTTTTATCATCAATTTTTGAAGTATAAAAATGTGTGATCGCTTCAAAGAACAATGCATAACTACCTAAATATTATAATAATTTGCCTTTTGTATTATACAGGCTGTCCCACGGGTATGAGACACGTACGGACAAATGTACCTATGTCAAGGTCTATCTCTAGCTACATTCGCTCAATAAATTTACGCTAGTAAGTAACAGGATCTCAGTTCCGACTAGTTATTTGCACCCTTTGGAGTCGAAACCTTTGGCCCGTGAGTTCCGAGCACCCTTCACCTTTCTAAATTTTATCAAACAAATTTAAAGACAGCGCCTGGGAAACCCAACGTATTAGCATAGCTATACAAAGGTGTTCCACTGCCAGCATCTTACGCACCTTGCCGCGGGAACTCAATTTTATCCTAGTTTTAGTTTATAGTATTTAGGCTTTCAATCTGTTATGGGAAGATCGTGGTCTAATGATGCCAAGTACGAGACTCAGCAACCTTAGGTTCACAGATGCTTTCATCCTCATGAGTGATAATCTCGCTGATATACAAGTCAGGACCCACCAGTTAAACGAGACTTCTGTACAAGTTGGCTTGGATATGCATTTGCATAAAACGAAGATCATGACTAAGGAAGTGGAGAACCCGATGGAAATTACAGTCAACCTAACTGTCGTCGAAAGAGTGGATAAATATGTTTATTTGGGCCTGAAATAAAAATGGACAAAGAAAATCAGCTAAATTAAATTAACAGGCGTATACGGTTGATGTGGGCTGCATACACAAAGCTTTTAAAATGAATTTTACTGCTGGACAAAATGCAACAATATTCTACCAGTGTATCCTGCCAGTATTAACTATGGTGCCGAAAGCTGAACACTAACAAATGACAATTCACAAATTACTGGTACACCAGAGGGCATTATAAAGGAATCTCATGGGAATTACACTCAAAGACCGCAAAACAAATGTGTGACTGAGACATGAATGCAGAATCGCAGATGTCACCAAACGCGTAAAGAGCGCGGGTTACGATACTCGAAAGCATGGCTCCGGCTGTAAGGCGATCCTCGAGTGGAGACCTTGGAGAGAAAAACACTCCAGAGGGAGACCAGATGCTTTGAAAGGCGACATAAGGAAAGTGGCAGGATTTAAATTGGATGGAGGTGGCACAGAACCGAAGGAAATAGCAGAAACTGAAGGAAGTCTATACCGATATGGTTGAGAAGGGCTAGAAAGACGAGGAAAAAGAGGTTTTTAATGTCCTATTGATTTTTTCTATTTTATGAATCTACTAATATCCATCCTTTCTTCATGATATCATCAAAGCATTCCTTTTTCCATCCTGGACACAACATCATCTTTCACAACACAAATCTCGTAAGCTATTATTTTCATAGCGTAAATGCTACTTTCATGTTGTTTCTACCATGCCACTCACTACCGTACAACAAGGTTCGGAGCACATAAATTCTAAATAATAAAAAAAAATATTTTTATAGCAAATCAAACTATTTTTTCTGATCTAAATTGCGTATATTTGTTTTTTCTAACAATACAACATTTTGGGCCCTGTACAGATCCCACAATCACAGCTGACTAAGATGGTAAAGTTATCAACCAGTTACGTCTAATATTAATGCAAACCAACCTATTTTTCACTATTGTTACATAAGCTATTAAATAAATACTATATTTTTTTATTTTTCAAAGAAACTTTCCAATTAACTCTACCTGAGTTTCACAATAATATTTTATTTTAACAACACTTTTTTTAATTAAATTTAATTATATTAATAAGTCATAATGGTAATTGGAATCAATTAAAAAATATTAATTATTACTGTAGTCTCATGTCTGTTTGGGATTTTTCAACAGAGGAAATAGAGGATCCCAAACTGGTGGTACGGAGAAACTATCTTTCCTGTTGAAATTAGGATGTTTTTTAATTTCGTTGGCCTCTCGCAGCATCCTGTGTAGATAACGTTGGTCTGTTTGAAAAAAATCAAAACATATGTACCTACGCAATTCAGATTCGACAAAATTATTTCATTTCCTATGTGTAACAATCCTCAACATCCGAAAACCTCAGAACTCTATAATATTTTTATCGTAACAATTGTGTGACTTCAGTAAACAGAAGTTAGTTACATCATAATCCTATGATTTATATTGATAAGCGCAATATGTAATCATTAAATTACATAGTAACGTTATCAGGCCGACTCTAAATCACCTTGCGGTACTTTTTTAAATTGCAATTTTTTTTTCAAATTCACAAACACGACTACGTCTCTGACAATTCGAAGAGTTCTGTCTAAAAAATGCCTGTTCACTATAGCCTCAAATAGCCCTAAATTATAGCTTTCGGGAGACACAAATGCCTGTAATGTATTCCATTCCTTTCCTGTTACTTATCAGGGGTATACTCCCGTTCGCAACAACTACAGTCAAATAAGTAATACTCGACGAAATTAAAAGAAGTACAACGCAAATGAAGCTTCATACTCATCGAGTATATAACCAGAAATAGAGACGAAATGTCATTTAATTTGTTTGAAAACCTTTACATATCATTACTATAACAACTGCGCTCCGATTGGCCAGCCCGAATTCGAAACAATTGACGGGTGTCGTCAATTGTTTCACGTCAAATCGACCGATCGAGTTAACTTGAGCTTTGCTATAATGGACGAAAATTGCGAAATTACATATTTAATATTTAATTTCCGATTAAATTTGATTCCATTTGTTTTGTAATTTGATGTTTTGCTATTTTTCCCACCCCACCGATTGGAACAGCAACAGTATAGAAAGAAAGAAAATAAATTTATTCAACACAAACACATGTTACAAGTACAATATGATTTTATGCTTGTTGTGTATTGCACTGAAAAGGGCCCAACTCAGCAAATACTGCGGCGGAGCTACAGCGGTGGTTTTCAGTGGACCCTTTTTTGAAATTGGCCGATTTAAAAATTACAAATAAAAATTAAAAGAAAATAAATAAAATGTGGACGCGCAGTAAAATAGGTACAACATATAAATAACTCAATTTGATCAGAAAAATAAAATTCTTACTGTCTTTATATATTTTATGTTTCTTTTTGCGTTATACAAATAAACTTTCTCCAGGCGTATTTTGCAATATTAAAATATGCCTCTGAGTTTAATTTTGAAAGTATAAACGGATTGTTACAATAAATACAGAATACTTTTGGAATATACGGAGACGTACACACAGGTCAGCAGTTGCCGCTGTCTATATTTCAATGCAAACGAGAGTTGATATATTTTATAAGTGGTATATCACTGATGAATTACCAGGAATGTATGGCCCTTATTACGTCTCTGTTTCTGGTTATATACTCGACGTTCATACTAGACATTGTCTTTGATTAGGTCGAGTATTTATTTCACTGTAATTATTTCGGACGAGGAACAGAAAGGATCATAAAGCATTGTGCTTCGTGCGGGTGGGTGGTAAATCAATGGCACAAGGTTGGGGTGTTTCGGACTTTCTAGTCGACGGGAAGAGAAATAGTGAGTGCGGAAAAACAAACTAAATCGTCCACTTCCTACGTACACTCTCCGAAATGATTTCAATAGAAAACCGACAAGGAGGCCACATTTAAAGCTCTGAGTGGCACTGCATGATTCAGATTCAGATTCATTTATTTCTCAAATATAACATTACAGTATAAATTGCACTACATGCCAAAGTATAAGAAATTATATTGAGATCGTCAGACAAAAAGGAAAATTATAAGTAAAGCACACAATAATTAGAAAATTAACAATTCATATTATTGTTGTCATTAAATTACATATCAGATATCATTCTCCATCAAGGATCGTCATAAGTTGATTACAATTATACAAGAGTATGTTAATGCGGTAAAAATTACAATAAAAATAGAAAATACTGAATTCGTTACAATTTAAAATCCATAAATTCTTTTACGGAGTATATAGGATTTTTCAAGAAAAGGTCTTTCAAGTTCAAGTCTGAGAGTATGGACATGGTCATGGTATGGCCATGGACAGTCCCATATCGTTTTACATAAGTTTTGTTATGCGGGAATTGCACTATGACTTGTGCGAGCGAACCTGCACAGGGACCGTCTAAGTCAGGACCTAATCCCAGATCAGCCCGTTTGCACGGATTTCGTCTGGTTCTCTGTAAAGCTAGCGCCTTAGGTGAGCAGCCCCGGGATCACGTACAACACCCTCCCTATTTTCCAGATAGGTACCGGAGCTATTATGGAAAGGCCTTTCGCTTACCACCAGCCACACGATTGTTCGTATCGTGACTTGGTATTTCACTGGTACCCTTGTCTTTCAAAACAGAGGAGGAACGCCGTAACACTCACATTACTGTTTGGCGGCAGAAATAAGTAAGGTAGTACTTCCCTGAACGAACTTTTCACAAGGAGCTCTACTGCTAGTTAACCCTTGGACCTCTTGGAAGAGTTAAATAGCAGTAGAACTCCTTGTGTTGTTAGTTATCCTATTATCATAGTCCACAGTTGTGGTTCGAACTCCATCCACTGCTCTTAATCATAAGTCGGTTCACAAAAAACCAACTCGGAAGAATGCAGTTTGTCCAACGACTCTAGGCGACATCCAGCTGTAACACTGTGATCTCTCATAGGGGTAGTAAATAATTAAGATTGGATTGCGGTAAGGAGCTCAATCTATTTTCACAGGAGTGGCGAGTCCCACCGAACCACACTGATACCAAGATCGTAGAGCTTATCAAGATTTTATAATTGACTGATGTCCCTTTTTGTTTATTATATCTGCAGCGCGTCGGGAATGTTCGCCGATGCTCATGTAGATGGATTTCCCGTCATCATGATAAAGAGAGCGGCATCCTTGATGCGCAGAGTGCGTGGCAGCGGTAACGGCATCGTGAGTATTATTGCTGGATGGGTTCAAGTTTATTTCTTGAACACTGGACCAAACTTCATGTGTACCTACACTAAACCCAGTACATATTTATAAGTTGTAATTACTATCAATGTTTTCTTTTTTATACTAACCAATATGGATGAATAATCCGAAATAAAGTAATTGAATCCGAATTTGAATATCTTTATAACTGTACTTCTGTTCATATCAAGTTCTTAGGTTTTTGCGATTGTTGCACATAGGAAATGAAATTATTTTTCCGGATTTAAATCGCGTATATTCGTTTTTTCAAACAAACCAACGTTTCGGGCCCTTTACAGTTAAGTCTACAGTCACATATTTGCTTTCTTTCGTGGTTAAGTATAACCAGTTATATCTAATATTAATGCAAACCACTTACTTTTCACTATAGTTACATAATTAATACAAAAGTGGTTTATAAAATACCTTATTTTTAAATTTTACAAGGAACATTCCGATTTACGCTACAAATGTTTTACAATTATGTTATTTGAACAATATGAGTGTAAAATGTATTTCTGTTTTTGTGGAAACCATATTGACTATCGTGGAGAATTCAAAAACTTTCAAAGAATGCGCTTAGCCTACTTGACATTTCTTTTTCCGTTCTTTGGCAGTCGTTGCTAATTAGTCGCTTTGTTTTTCGTTCCGCCAAATCCAAGGTAGGTAGCTGGTTTATGTATCAACTAATTAACCTTAAAAACTGTATTAAACTGTTTTAATAACAAATAATTGGCCTTTTAATTTACATTGCCACAGTGACGCGCTCATTGTACATTTTTAACATTGACGACATAATTAGGTGATAGTTCTATACGAGATCGTTATCCTCGTATAATCCATAACAGCTGTGATAAAATTTCAGTAATAACAGATTGCTAATGAAAATTGGGGCCAAGTTCTTTGAAAACATGTATATCTAATGATAATTGCACTAAATTACTATATTCTTAATAATGGAGGATCAACTATCAACCAACAATCACTTTAATACAGATGAATTATGGCAGAAAAATCATTCCCACCACCAACTCATAGATATTTATGTGCTAATGCTGAGTTTCGTCGGGACGAACAAGACGTTGTGGACGACGTGCCTGTCCTCCGAGACACCCAAGTGGCGTCACACGTCGCAGACAATACGCGTCATTAGTAATTAGTATTTTATTATTCTGTTGTGTACTGTCTGCGAGGTGTCAATTATGGGACTTTGTAACCTGAATATGACTAAGTTAAAAAAGAATAACAGCCGCATTGGCGTTCAGAGTTGTATATTGCAAAGCACTGCCACTGCGCCCGTCACGCTGAGACATAAGTTGAAAAGTCCCGTGTGCCTGTAATTTCACCAGCACCTTTCAAAACCGAAACGCAGTAATGCTCACATTACTGCTTGGCGGCAGAAATAGGTGCAGTATTCCTGGACGACCTCTTTCACAAGGAGCTCTACTGCTACTAAGCTCTTGGAGAGGGTTGTAAGTTATACTCCACCACCCAATGCGAAGAATTATATGAATCGTATAATCGAAACATGAAGGTTATATCACATCTTTTTTCTTCACAGTTGGGACTCGAACTCCATTTCTGCCCCGGTAGCATGTGGTCGGGGTTCATTACGCGCGCAGCTCGCGCGTCTGCGACCGCTGATAGGTCTAGACAAGGGCCGAAGGCGAGGTGACGCGCGGGACACGTGAATTGCCCTTTAAGTCGGAAGCTATGTCCGGATATTGTCGCAGGCCACCGCCACCGACATCTAAACCGGAGAGCTAGTAGAGCTTCCTCTAAGCTAAAGCTAAATATTCTCCGGTCCCTCCAGTCACTGGGAACTGAAGAGACGCTTCGGCGTCCTTACCTTACTTTACCTTATAAGGTACGTTCATCTTCGGAAATCTCCTCTTTGGTGATTTCGTAATGGACTTTAGAGTCAACGGCTTAGCGGTGGCAACTGGCAATCGTTAATTGTGTTGTGCAATGCGCAACGGGAATCGAGCGTGCCTACTTATCTGAAAAGTAGCGAGAATACTGTACGTGTACCCGGAACAGCTCACGCAAGGCGCTTAGCCTTTTAAGAACCAGATTAAGTCAGTACTGACGGACTGACCTGGGCGCGTCTTGCTTGCTCAGATTGTGGTGCCCTTCCCGTACTATCAAGCGGTTGATAGGGAGGGCCATTATAAACAAAACTTATGTAAAAAGATATGGGACTGCTCTTAATCGTAAGTCACTTCACAGAAAACCAAATCAGAAGAATACAGTACCTTTCAGAAAAATATTGGGATGCAAATTGTCCAGAGACTTTAGGCGACAGCTAGCTGTAACACTGTAATCTCGTGGTAAACTAAAGGGTAGGTGGAAAGCACCGTCTTGCTCTCCATTTGTTGCCACCATTTAGCGATAAAATTATTGCAGTTTTATCACTAAACATGATTACGATGCGCAAAAATTTTGAATTGTTCTACGGAAGTAACAGTCGCCGTCGAAAATGTGCACATTGATAAGATGCTAAAGTTTGTTAGTTTGCGTGATTGTTATCATACCAATAAATCAACGGCACTGATTTTATTTAATCGATTAAACCGATATCGATCACTAAAGTTACCTATATAAATACGCACTTGTCTCAAAAAACATTTATTTCGTCGTCAGCAGTTAGAGAAACAGCAGTCAAAATGGTTTCCGACTTTAGAAAAAAGAAGTATACGCACGTTTTCTACGTCTTCTTGGATTCTGACAAGAGTGGCAGCATCGAACGGAAAGACTTCGCCTTGACAGCAACTAACATCGCAAAAAAGCGAGGTTACAAAGCTGGTGAAACAGCTTATGAACTTATCAAGGAGATGTTGGGGAAAATTTGGGAAGGATTAATTAAAGACGCTGATGCTAATGGCGATGGAGTAGTCACCGTTGACGAATGGATCAAGCTGTGGGACGAATATGCCAAGAATCCGGCTGGCGCTAAGGAATGGCAGAAACTTTATGCCAAATGTTTCTTCCAACTGGCAGATGTGGCGAACGACGGTACAATTGATGCGGAAGAATTCGGAACTGTTTGCGAATGCTTCGGTCTAGACAAGAATGAATCTATGGAGTCTTTTAAGAAACTGACCGGCGGCAAGGCCCAAATTAATTTTGCTGAGTATGAAAAATTGTTCCAGGAATATTTCACAAGTGATGATGTTAATGCCCCTGGTAATAACATCTTTGGTAAGCCAAAGTGAGTTTGCTTGATGTTTTAAAAGATCTTGTATATTTATGATTAAAAAGTGTTTTAAGTAGTTTGTTTCTTATTATTCATGTATTCATAAAGAAAACTTACAAATATTTCCCTGTTTCAAAATTGGCCACGGTAAAATGTATAGCTCTTTTGCAAGACGTCTAGAACAGATCTCTCGTAATATATCACAAACTGGAGAAACAAAGCTCGACCTAGGTACCAAATCCCTTCGTCTGTCGACTTAGGACAGGGGTAACCAACTTTTATTAATTTGCGGTCCTTAAAAAATACCATTTTATTGTCTCATTTATAGCGATTGGGAATTTATGTTCATCAAATCATACAGTCCGCTGCTAAACTTATTATAAATTGTTGATCGCAGTAAAGCTGTGGTTTATCTAGGTATGGTTTACCGTTCATAAAAAAAATGGGAAGTCCGATGAAGAAGTAACATCATTTTGTTTTCCACGCAGCCTAAATATTTGTCAGCCCTGAGAAGCCCTGAGGGCGACCGGAAATTGTTTTTTTAGCAGCTATGTGTTGTGATATTACATGCTGTTTAATTTCTGCTCTTTGTTTTACAGAAATATGAATATTCTTTGTCAAAAGCTTCTTTGTGCCGTAAAATAGGCGCTTTTGAAAGTCTTTCTTTGTAAATGAAAAAATTTCGGCATTGCTAGACAAAATACTTAAACAAAAAAGGAGTACACATTACAAAAAGCACAAATTTGCAAATTATTAAAAAAAAAGAATTTAAGGTAGCAGTAGAGCTCCTTGTGATAGAGTTCATCCAGGGAAGTGCTGCCACCTTACCTATTTCTGCCGTCAAACAGTAATGAGAGCATTACTGCGTTCCGGTTTTGAAGTGTAAGCGTATTGGTAAAATTACCGGTATATGGGACTTTTCAACTTACGTCGTACTTAAAGCTCTGGGTGGCACTGCAACTGTTATGAACAGGCGTGTCGTTTACCATCAGACGCACGACTTGTTCGTCCCACCACTTAGTATCATAAAAATACAAAAAACATTTTGAATTACTGACAGCGAAAAAACATTTTGATTTTTATTTTGATGTTCCAATATCAGTTCAAAATGTTTCAATATTGTTTTGGGCGGAAAAAGAGCAACCTAAGTTTATTCCCACTTGAATCCTAATCCTACAGTCCTCCGCGTGATGTAACGCTCAATCACACCTATCTATTCACTTAATAATATCAGTACAGAATACTAAAAAAACCTAACTCAAAAGTCCGTGGAATTACATCTATTTGCCAAGTTTTATTGAAAACGGTTACCTGGAAGTGCGCGAAACTGGCTTCATCCCCTAATTTACCACCCTTAAAGGTGGAATGTTTTCTGCAAAATTTAAATGGGATTAATACTGAGTACAACCTTTTTCCAACAAAAAAGAAATCTTTAAAAATATATTAGATCGTACATTCAAAAATGTAACGTATATTAGGTACTTAAATTTTATATTAACAAGTAAAAAATCATTAACAATGTAGAAGCATTGAGTAAACATTTCATTTTAAATTGTTTACAATTTAATTCTTTTACAGCATCCGGTAATTTATGAAATAATTTGGATGCTAATATAAACTCGTTCTACTGTGAAATTCTAAGTTAGGGCGTTGTTAAGGCCGTATTTTGGCCGTATTAATTTTTAGTAAATTGACGTTGCCTAGATTTTTTTTTTAAACACAGGCCTTGTATTATAACGATGGTGACCCCACCATCGTGTAAAGATGTTAACCCTGTAGCCTATTTTCATACACATATTTTTATAACTTCCAAAATGCATCAATTTTTAACTTTACGCTGCTTATTTTTATTTCTGTATTTTTATCTATATTACAACACTACACTACATAGAACACTATTCACAATTCATAATTACCAGTCCGTCGATGTTAAAAATAATTCGCACTCCATCGATAGCTTCCGTATCGACATCACCCCATCTCTAGTACCGCGCAGGGTACATAACGTTATGTACCCTGACAGCGTGCCGGCGCGCACGCAGAGGTCAAAGCAGTCACAGCCTTACGTTGATACGGAGCGTAAGTCACTCGCCTTGTAATTTCGCCGGCGCGAACTATCGTACCTACGCCATTTTGTATTTGCTTTTGCTTGTATTTTTAATAATATAACCGCTAGCTATTTCATAGTTTCTTTCGTTTCTTTCGTGCTTGTGCTTATGTTTTCTATCCATTGTGCCTTCTAAACCGTTGTGTATTTGAACATTTGATGTGCTGGACATTATAACACCGTAATTGTGAGTTGGGTCTTTTTATTTACAACACCCGGTAGATACAAACCTGCGTGCCATAGACCAGAATATAAAATAACTATATAAATACCACAACCCTAATATCTTTCCTTAAGTAAGATACGCAACTTTCTCGCTGACCCACACCAAATATGGCCCTGACTGACGCCATTGGCGCCAGCGCTAGCCTATGCAGCGCCCGAGTGCAATCAAGACCCTGGCGTTCTCTAGTGGGCACGCGATCAAAATGGATCAGTTACTTTGTATTTTGCCCTGTAATCGAAAATTCAGCTGCAAATGGTGCAATTAGAAATGATATTGGGCAGCAATAGCACATTCACTGCGCTTGCGCCGCGACACGCCGCCCCCTGACATGAGCCAGTGTGCTTGGCACACCCTGCACCATAGTAAAGCCGGCATCGCCTGACACATTTCTTATGGGTTTTAAATAGTGGCAAATTGTGATGCAACATCTATTCGCCAGAGCGATAGTCCATATTGCAAACTAGAGGCTACACATGCGTGATAAGCACAAAGAGCCATTTTTTGTGAATTAATTCTTGTCAGATTTTGTACGTATTTACTAAGTTCAATTTTTAAGTTATATGTGTCCTCCAAAGTAACAAATAGGAGTAATGCCCATAAATTTCGTCTTATCAACCTGAAGGACCATTTTATCCATTGTAATTTCTAGTTAAATATTTTGGTCGGGATTGTGACATAAATTTAAATTCAGTGTGGAATGCTCTTCGAAAAGACAATGCAAATGTATGCTACGTCTTCTTCTTGTCGAGTCAATAACAAAAACCAGAGTTACATTTCTTTGGCCAAAGAACTGGACATAGAGATGTCCATGCCTTTAGCGGTGCAGCTGGTTGGACACAGTGGGCATGAGAGCAAGTGAGATGTACTTTGTGTGGGGGATCCGCATGCACAATGGTTTTGAGTCAGGTTGATTCATTCCCATTTCACCATGTTGTCTCTACATTGGCCAATTTGTGACTTGCGACTGTCGTGTCGTGTGAAGACTTCGGCTGGAGTGATATAATCAAAAGGAGAATCAAGTTTGGCTGTCCAAAGTTTTTATTTTTAATTCCATGTGTTTACTAAAAATATTTACTTCTACTTAATATACTGTATACTTTTTTATGATAATACCTACGTAAGCTAACTTCTATAGCGGTAGTATCTGGAAGGAAGCTCTTAAGGCTTGATAGTCGTGCTCGTGGGAGCTTGTCGCCGAATAAAGGGTTCCGACTACGTACGCTACCGTAGGCTATAGATAGAAGCTATAAAAAACTCACCTTTCAAGTAATAATGCCACATCTGCAAAATGGTAAATTTTCAAAAGAAAGGTTGAAAGATTGAAAGAGAACAAACGAAAAGTTATAATATAAGTTTATATAAGGTTGTAGTCGTTACATTTGTTTTTTTTTTGTTATTTGTCTATTGTAAATTATTTCATGTTACTTTTTTTTTATATTGTTTATTAATTCTTTTTATTTTGTTTTGTTTGTCTAAGTGTTTTCAATGTTTTTTTTTGTATATTTTGTGGCGTTGCAATACATCTCTATTCTATTCTCTTCTAATATTCACAATTTGTTTCATGTAGCTCGTATTATTTTTACACCTTTCATATGATAAAAGCATTTATGACGTATGACCGTGTGTGGCTTTATTTACATATTACGAAAATATCTAACAAACACATTGCAAAGGCGAATTGGTAAATTTTACCCCCAATTTTTGTTGGTATAAATTTTAATCGGTTTCGTACCGATGCTTATCTCCTAAATTGTTCTCGCTCCCTTTAATATTTATGGTGCAGCACATGATTTATTTGCGATATGAAATTTTGGATACTTATGAAAATTTAATCGATTACTAGCTACTAGCAAATAGTCACAGACTAGCAAGTGACAGACTACTATAGTAGCGGTAGAGCTTGTGAAAGAGTTCAAAATCAAAATCAAAATAATGATTATTTCATAGGTAAGCATGAGTTGAGTTTGCGCCCTACTTTACGTGAATCGACTGATTCACTTTTTATTATAATTTAGTTGATTCAATAACTCTGTCGCAATCGGTCACATAAGCATCCATATAATAACTTGTATTTAAACAAAAATAAACTTTACGATTGTACGTCAACTCTATAACTTAACTAACTACAACTACAACTAACTTAACTACCTACAATCAAGACGTCAAAGCCCATACAATTATTACTAACACTCGAAATCGTCACATTGGTTAAACTCTACCGCTCATTCGTAAGGCAGATTCCCCTGAGAAGAATGAGCAAGAAACTTTAGGGCTTGGTCTTTGTAAATAAAATTTGTATACATTCAACATTTACAATATATATATTTCAAACATCAGAGATTGAGAATACCTTCATGAGTTAAACGGGTTACTACCACGGATTTTTATCGTCCAAGTGCGGAAAAGTTGTTTAATACCAAGTTTTAGTTTCAGTACAGTTTTATACCTCGTGAATGGCAAATTTCGTCCAGGGAAGTGCTGCCACCTTACCTATTTCCGCCGAAAAGCAGCAGTGTGACCATTACTGTATTTCGGTTTTAAGGGGTAAAGTTGCTGGAGAAATTACAACCACATAGGACTTGTTAACTTACGTCTCAAGGTGGCGGACGTACTGGCAGTGCCCCTCATGTGTTAGCGATTTAAAGTTCAGAGTAGCACTGCAACTGTTGTAGACAGACGTGTCGATTACCACCAGACGCAGTTCGTCCAGTCACATGATATCATAAAAAACTACACATTTGCT